TTTTTGAGACAGGGTCTCGCTATGTAGTGAGACTGACCTGGAACTCACTGTGTAGCCCAGGCTGGTCTCTAACTCACAGTGATCCTCCTGCCTCAGCCTCCCGAATGCTGGGATTACAGGCGTGTGTCATCACGCCCAGCACAACTAAGTTATTTTAAAATTAAGTCATTTCTCAAGAAAAAAGTGAAAATGAAAAAAACAGAAACAAAGATTTTGTACATAGGGAGAGAAGGGTCTTGAGGGGGAAGGGGATAAAATAAAATGTATTCAAAAAAATTAAGTCACTTCTTTAAATATCATTTTTTAAAGTTAGGTGTGGTAGCATTTGCCTGTAATCTAGCACTGAGGGAGGCTGAGGCAGGAGAATTACAAATTTGAGTCCTGGCAGAGCAATTTAGTGAGACACTTTCTCAAAATAAACATTTTAAAAAGGGCTGGTGATGTATTTTAGTGATAAAACACTCCTGGGTTTGATGCCCAGTACTGCCGTGTGTGTGTGTGTGTGTGTGTGTGTGTGTGTGTGTGTGTGTGTGTGTGATATTTTAAATTTTGACTTGTGAAGTATTGGAGGGTGATCGATTCTCTGACTGCGTACAAAGCAGGATGGATGGGGAGGGCTAAAGAAAGAAAACAGAGACTTGTGTAATTTCAAAGTATATGGGGCTGGCCGGGGATTTAGCTCAGTGGTTCTGCGGCCTGCTTTGCAAGCGCTAGGTCCCAAGTTTGATGCCTGGTACGGTACCAAAAAAAAAAAAAAAATCAAAACTCATCTGGACATAATGGCACATGCCTGTAATCACAGCACTTGGGAGGCTGAGGCAGGAGAATTGCTGAGAATTTGGGCTACATAGTGAATTCAAGACCAACCTGAATTACAGAGCGAGATCCTGGCTCAAAAAACCAAACTAATAGTACTACTAATAATAAAATTCAAAACTCTTCTTAGGGGTGACAACAGTGTTATGGCTGAGTCTCTATAAAAGTCTATTCAGGGGCCGGGGGTTTAGCTCAGTGGTTCTGCCGCCTGCCTTGCAAGCACAAGGACCTGAGTTCGATCCCTGGTACCAAAAAAAAAAAAAAAAAAAATTCAGATCTGTACTGCATCTTACTATTTTAAAACATTTTTATTGCTAATATAGTATGGGTAATGTATTAGTCCACTTCCTTCTACTATAATAAAATACTTTAGGCTAGGTAATGTATAAGGAATACATTTATTTAGCTTACAGTTCTGAAGGTTCAAGAGCATGATGTTGGCATCTCCTCAGTCGTTTTTTTTGGTGGGGGGATGGGGTGGTACCAGGGATTGAACTCAGGACCTTGTGCTTGTGAGGCAGGCACCGGCACCACTGAGCTAAATCCCCAGCCCTCCCCTCAGTTCTTTGAGTGCAAATAGCATCACTGTGGTGTGACCGTGTGCGGAAGAGATCACACGGTGAGACAGGCAAGAAAGAGAGCTGAAACACTTCAACTAGCATTGTAACAACACATTTTTTATTAAAGTTTTTTATTAGTGTGTGTTTGCAGTACATCATGATTACATTCCTTGTGAGGAGTTGGTGCATGCACCACTGAGCTAAATCCCTGGCACGTAACACCCGCTCTTTTCTTTTAGAAAGGGTCTCACTGTGTAGTCCAGGCTGACCTCGAACTCACAGCAATCCTTCTGCCTCAGCCTCCCAAGTGCTGGGATTACAGGTGTGTGCCACCAGATCCAGTTTAACCACCCATTGTTGGAATTAAGCCAGTCCCATGAGGCTTGCATGAATCCCTTCCAAGGGTTTGAGTCTCAGGACCCACTACCTTTCACAAAACCCCCACCTCTTGGTGGTTTTAAGACCTCAACACTGCCACACACAGAGGTCCAAGCTTCCAGCATATGAACCTTGGGGAACAAATCCCACCCATACCACACCATATGTAAAAGATAGATGGCGAATCACGTATATCAACAATTTAAGAAACAATACAAAACTGAATATTCATGAACTCACTATATAGTTTAAGGTACAAAGCTTCCTTAACCCCTCTGTATCCTGCACCCCTAGTCCACGCTCATGCTTCTGTCCTATATTTTCAGTGAACTGCTCTTGCTTTTAAAAATAATTTTATAATGATAACATATCTTCACAACTAAATGCTTAATCTGCTTTCTACCTTCATGTAAACAGAATCATACTGTCTATATTTTACCTGCAATCTTTTTCTTTTTTAACATTATTCTTTTACAACACAACCACATGAGTGCAGGAACTTACAATGTTCATTATGTGCAGTATTTCCCAGATCTCAGGAGGCTGAAAGCAGGAGGATTGCCATGAGTTTGAAGCCAGCCTGGGCTACACAGTGAATTCAAGGCCATCCTGATCAACTTGAAATTTTTGACCAGTCTGGTAGATATGAACTAGTAACTCACTGGTTTTAAATTGCATGTGTAGGATTACTAATGAGGTTAAATGTCTTTTTATGTTTATTAACTATCTGTATTTTTCTCTCTGTGGAATGTGTAACAGTGCATTTTACCAATATTTCCACTGGGCTGTGTATCTCGCCCCGCTGCCCCACCCAGTACTGGGACTGGAACTCAGGACCCTGCACTTGCCAGGCAGGTGAGGTGCCACTGAGCTAAATCCCCATCTTTTTCTTATTAATTCATTAATGTTACAATAATCATTTTTAGTTATATGTAATGAAAATATCTATGTCTTTCCTTACCTTGTTTTAAAGTTTTGGTGATGAGGATCAAACCCAAGGCCTTGTGCACACTAGGCAAGAACTCTACCACTGAGCTGTATCCCTAGCCTGTGTTATGTATGTATGTATTCATTTTTTTCCCATTGAGTTGATTGGTACATTCTAGGTAGACAGTACAGTTACATTCATCATGGGGATCTTGTACCTTTACATGACAGGTCTTCGTTCTCAATTTTTTCCCCATTCCCCTGCCCTCCCTTCACCTGCTCAACCCTGTCCTATTTACAAGAACTTTGTTTCCATTTTTTCCTTTTCTCTTATTTTTTCTTTTCCTTTCTTTCCTTTCCCCTACCCTTCCCACTTCCCCTACTCCTTTAGACTTTTTCTTCCTATTTCACATTATGAATTATACAATTTGATCCTTATTTACACTTAGTCTTTCACACCAGAGAAACTATTTGGTATTCACACACGTGTGTCCTATTTATTTCACTTAAGAGTATGGCCTCAATGTGCATCCATTTAGCTATAAGTGTCTCTAGTTTCTCATTCTTTATGCCCAGCCTGTATTTAAAATTTTAAAGGTTTAAAAGAGCTGGGTTGATAGCTCACACCTGTAATCCCAGCACTTGGGAGGCTGTGGCAGGAGGATTGCTATGAGTTTGAGGACGGCCTGGGCAATACAATGAGCTCATCTCAAAAAAGCAAAACAAAACAGGTTTAAAGGTTTTTACTTCATAGTTAAGTACTTGGGCTTCTCTGAATTTAATTTCTTTCCCTCTTTTCTCTGGCACACCCTTTGTCATGTGTTTTAATGATGTGTTACAAACACTCCTCAGAAAAGTGCATGGTTTGCCAAGGAGGAACAGGTATCTAGGAGAGTTCTTCAATTTCTTGCTGTATTCCCTGTGTGTTAGTCAGCTTTCCCTTTGCTGAGAGACGATACTTTGCACCATAGCTTACTTCGGCTCAGAGTTTAGGGATTCAGTCTATGGCTGTACAAGACAGTGTTGCAAGTGCTGGTGAC